CCAGGGGTCGGCTGTTAGTTATTCAGAAAAAACCTTATGCCTCTTATGGTAATGGAACTCCACCAAGTTGTTATGTGTGTATACAAGCATGTTCCTTTCTACTCATGTGTTCAACAATGGGATATTTTTCAGCTTTATAATTAGTGTTGGGTAGAAGAGAAAGTCATAAATGAATGTGTGTGCAATTCAGTTTATTTTGGTAAATCTGGAGAAATAACCACAAATTTGTTGGTGCTCATAAGCTCACTGTAAGCATGCTGTGCACTGTTAGCATTGAATTAGCCATAGGGCTCAGGTTAATGTCTGATATGAAAAGTAAAACCACCTGACTTTTATTAACTGCATTCTTTATATGCATTTATCTTTTTATAGGTATCTAATGAAAGCAATTTCATCACTTCTTGGTTGTTTTACTGTGTTCTTTTACACAGAAATAAATCGTCCCTTCAAAGTTTTGTGAAATATCACATTAAGGCATCAAATTAAAAAGGCTTAATATACTTAAAATAGCCATATTTTTAAATCTCATGTACTTTAAACAAATTTACAATAAAATCAATCTTTTGGAACAAAGTAAAGGAATAAATGAATACATAATTAAAACAATAAATAAATACCAGAAAAACTGGACAATATTCTTTCACTCTAGTACAATAAGGGTGTAGAGCATTATTTGCATCATGCAATAAATAAGGTAAGAAGTGTGTTATGTATTGTGCATAGAGGGGTGCTAGATTTTAATGCAGGGATCAGGGAGTTTATATTGCTCATGTTCTAAATAAGAAAAGTACAGTGATTGGGAGCCAAACTTCCAAAAAAAAAAATAAAGAAGAAGAAGAAGAAGGGAGAGCATCACAGATGTCACCTGTGTGTGAAAGTTTGCTTCCCTAAACCATTAAGAACAATGTATATATCCCAAATAGAGAGGAAGACAACATACGGGAAAACATCACATATCTCAGACATTTGAAAACCTGAAACACGTAAGTAAAATACAACATCAGTGTTACTACACTTCAAAGAAAAATTACATTTGATCTTAAGAGAGTGCAATCCTAGAAAAAAAAAAAAAGATTTGCTCAAATTATGATTTATCTTTTTTCTCGTTTTAACTGCAATAAGATTTCAAAGAGATTTTAAATAGTTCATAGAATAATTAACACAATTGTTACAGGAGTGATTCTCCTTGTACCCCTTCCTTTCTGTGTTCTAAGGTCTTTCCTCCCTCCCTCCCTCCCTCCCTTTCCTTTTTTTCTCTTTCCCTCCCTTCCTGCTGGTATTATTTACATCGTGGAGGAAAGAGCAGATTTTTTTTTCCTAAAATGAATTCTACTTGAATATATTTGTTAGTCACAGATTTGACACGAGTAGGCACTTCCATTTGGTGTAAACTTCTTTGAGCTAGAAACATTGTGAAATGCAAAACGTGCTTCTCTCTAGTCCTCACTAGCCTGTCCGCTCCATAGATTTTTGTTCCCTGCTGCATTCCCGGTATTGAGAGCTATGTCCAGCACTGCGGGTCTGGAGGCACTCAGAGAGGAGGGACGGGGAAAGATGCTATTGGTCAGCTGGACTCTGGATGAAAAACATGGTGTTACGTTTCTGTCATTACTAGCAATGATCTGTACGCACACCAGGCAGACCATACGCACATATTCTCTTCTCTTCAGGGCATCTCTTGATATTCACCTATGACCCAATTTCTTTGTGGTGAGCAGTGTTAGGGGAGTACAGTGAGGGGGAATGGGGAGAGAGCAAGTGTTGCTCTGGTTCTATTTGCACTACCCTTTTGGAAAAGGGTACTCATTAATGGGATGTCCTATGATATCTAGAGCCAAAACCTAATTAAGAAAAAATAGGTGGTGATCTCCATCCAAGTTTACCAAGCATAACTTCCTTTAACTCAGTAAATGACTCTTTCCTCACGACCACCATTTCAGAAATAAACCATGTCTACCGCAAAAGAGACAACAATTTTCGGTGTCTTTCCTCGGGTGATAATCACTAACTGGCATGCCCCCTCTTCTCCGCCTCTTGATGAATTCCTATTAGCTTTGAAGTCTGGAAAGACTGCCAATTCCTCACACAGCAGGGTCGGTCAACTGATTTTTCTGTTCTTCCCTCACACTAGTCAGTATCTCAACAGTAGATACCCAGAAAGTAAAGTGAATAAATGAACTGATGAATTGTAAATCCACTAAAAACTCCCTTACAAAAATGCACTTCCTAGAGAGATAATGGGGGTTTCAAATTTATTTGTAAAATAAGTACCGTATAGAGTTGTTGTGAGGATTGTAACGAGACATATAAAAACATTACAGTTCAATGCATAGCACATTAGAGACGAATTCACTATAGATGCTTCTTTTTAAAAAAAAAAAAAAAAAAAAGTCTTCAGGGCGCCTGGGTGGCTCAGATGGTTAAGCGTCTGCCTTCGGCTCAGGTCATGATCCCAGGTTCCTGGGATCGAGTCCCGCATCGGGCTCCCTGCTCCTTGGGAGCCTGCTTCTCCCTCTGCTTCTCTCTCTCTCTCTCTCCCTCTGTCTCTCATGAATAAATAAATGAAATCTTAAAAAAAAAAAAAAAGCTTTAAAAAAAAAAAAAGTCTTCACTGTGCCAATCCTGCACACCAAACTTAGAACGTCTCAAGTAACCTTCTTCATGAGTAATGCATCATGCAGCACAGAGATCTTACCAATGGCCGCAGGGCCAGATGTAGAGCACAGGTGCATAGTAAAGGGATGCTCTTGCCATTTCGTAAGTGGGATGATGTATGCAGAAGACGGAAATGAGGCCAAGTCAGAGACAGACCTGGGATTAAGTCGGGAAAGAAGAGGCTAGCTCATCACTTAATGGAGCAAGTTTTGTGGCTGAAATCCTGAGGCTGAATGTCAGTATTCAGTGTGCTCCCCATTTCAAGTCCCTGCCTTCTCGGCTCCACATAAAATCCTCAGTTACCCAAAGACGTAAAGAGAGCTATTACAAAATTATCCCAACCATAGCCAAGTTGCTTTTAGCTTTTTATTTATTAATAGTGGAGTCTTGTTATACATATAGTTCCAGAGTAAGCTAGTTTATGATCTTCAGTCTATCTTTCCTTCACTGAATAACTGGGTTAAGTGTGAAAGAAAAACAAAAGAAAAACAAAAATGAAATTCTCTATGGTTTGGAAGCATTAGCTGAACCTATCTCTGGAAACAGAATTAAATATATATACATTACGTGGACTAAATATAACACAAGCTCATGTAAATTATAGCTCAAGCATCTAGAGGTTAGAGAACGTTAGAATCTATTGTTTGAAGTTCCTATCATCCTTTGTGCAAAAATTCAGTCATTTAGCTCTTAGAATATTATTTGAACTTTCCTGCCAACAGGAATGGAATAATGACACTAGTGAGATAATGGAAGAAATTGCCTTAGCAGACATTTTTATATGTATTAGACATGCTTTAGCTAACATTTAAATAAGCAGTAAATAGCCCACATATTAAATTCCTTGACATATCCTATATTAGGCATCCTTATCTCTGGAAACGGTATTTATGTGTTGCCTTCCATTTACATTTTTCCTAAATTAATCAGTGAATATTTTTCTAATTATCATCAGTTAATCAAGCCAATCGAACGTAGTCATTTAAAAACCATTGCTAATGTCCACAATAGCCAAACTGTGGAAAGAGCCAAGATGCCCATCGACAGATGAATGGATAAAGAAGATGTGGTATATATACACAATGGAATATTATGCAGCCATCAAAAGGAATGAGATCTTGCCATTTGCAACGACGTGGATGGAACTGGAGGGTGTTATGCTGAGTGAAATAAGTCAATCAGAGAAAGACATGTATCA